AAAAAATACTCCTTTGACTGATGTTTTCAGCAAGACTTTCACAAATAGTAGAATGGAGAAAAATCATATATGGCTAAGTTCTGTTTCAGAAAGTTTCAAGCTGAGAAAATTGAAATTTATTGCTAAAATTGAATGCATTTCCTAACCAGGTACTAAGAAGTAAAAATAAAAGTCTATTCCCACACAGTTTCCACGATAGAGATCTGATTTCCTTACAAAACCTCTCTTAAACTCGTAGGTTCTACTACTGCAACAACTGCTACTGCATCCACAACTACTACTGCATCCACAACTACTACTACAACAAGGCAAACAACAACTTCTACGACAACAACAGGTTATTAATTAAAATCTTTTCAATAAATAGTTGAATAATGTTTTTCTTTTAGATCCTTGCTCACGTTTTACCATAAAAACGAATTGGAATTATCCATATAATGATATAACTTCATCATCACCATTGACATTAACTGATTGTTGTGCAGTGTGTTTAGCTACTAGTAACTGTAGAGTTTTTACTTACACTGTTTCACTCTCAAAATGTTGGTTAAAAACATCATCGGGATTTTTTGGATCATCTACCTTAGATGCTATTAGTGGTGTAATGTGAGTTTAATATTCTTTATTAGTAAAAAAAATAATTTTATTTTTCGATTTGCACTATCATTTAATTATATATTTTATTTTTATTTTATTTTAAAATTCTAAAATAAATTTAAGATAAATGTTTTTTATCTTCAAGATAAATTTCTCCATTTTTTTTAATATTTAAATATAATTTTGTTTTGAGAAAAATCAAAATTATTTTATGCAATTGTTATCGACAAATATTTTTCACAAACATATTTAACTAATTAGAAATAAAACTTGCATGAAAATCGATAAGCCAAAATAGTGAAAAAAGATCTTATTTAATTAACTTTTTATTTCAGATGTTAAATAATCGTTTAGTTCATATATAGGTAGATTAAATTCTTATATATATATACAGTACTGGACAAAAGTAACTGTTCCCTCCCTGAAGTAGTACTATTTTACATGATGTTGGGCTGATATTTTGGGTGCATATGGATCTTGATGAATCTTGATCTCAGGTACCAATCTGGCATCAATTGGTTGAAATGTACTAGACTTATGACGATTTTCTGATAAAATTTTCAAGTAAATTGATCGAAACTATCTCGAGTTTGATCTGTTTGACTGACAATGAAGCCTTGTGGTTTGACAGAAGTTTTCCAATGCAAAGACAATATCTCAGTCATTTCAAAGTATTTTCTTATTAAAGTTGGACTGAAGATAGCTACAACAGTAGGCTTTCGAATGATGGATGACGCAAAAATAGAGCTGCAAAGGCGGCTAAGATATAGGAATTACAACATGAACATCTTGTTCACCTCATAACGTCAGTATATCTCAGTCAGTTGAGGTCGCGCTGGTGCTTGCGACTAGCATTCACCAAGGCCTACATACACCAAAAATATCAGTCCAAAATCAAGTGAAATAGTACTACTTCAGGGGAGTAGTTACTTTTGTCAAATACTATATATATTTTATCGTTCTAAGAAAATTTATTTTTACAATGAAATTTCTTATTCAATGCAATGATAAACGGTCTGCATATGAAGAATATTGATATGTCACGGATGAATAGTTTCCAAGAATCGAATTTAACAATTAATTAATAGTTCATATGAAACTAATTGCTTATGACATATAATGTCACAAACGTGACTGTTTACGCCTTTTCTTCACAATTATTTATAAAAGTATCATACGAAAATATATATAGACTTTATGATGAAATATAATCGTGTCAATGACACCATTTCACAGTTCATCAGAACAGAGTAAAGAATGGTTATACAGGATGAGCCAAAAGTCTTGGACCCTCTTAGAAAAATTGCTTTTTCTAGTTTATAAACAAATCCAAAAACGCTCAAAATTGGACATCTAATCTCTTGCAACTAGATAAATATTATCCTAAACTTTTATATCTCTAATCCTACTTACACGAAAGATACATAGATTCATATTATACACAAGATTTTTCACTATATCCCAAAAAATAATGGGTAAGGTAGATTGAATGGCCAGTTTTTGCGTTTTAATTTTCAATCACTTAAAACTTTGTATTAAAACAAAAAAAATATACCATAAACTACAGCATGAAAAGCTCTACGATTTACAAAGAACAGCTTATTTTATATATGAATATTTTATTTTCAAAATGGGCAAGATTCTCTGTGGCTAATTTTCGGCGCTACGAACAACATCATTTATTGGTACACAACAACTTCCTCTTCTTATTACTTCGATTAATGAGTCACATCAAAGGCCGAATTTGGATCGATTAACAATTACACTTGTAAATGAACTGATATTCGCGTAATATTGAGTTATGTAATACAGAAAATACGATTGTATACAGTGAAACACGAAATATATACGGATTTTGTATACTTCGTTCTGGAATACTACTACTCGGTTAATTTGAATTCTAATGTGTAGATGCCTTATTTGTTATTATACCCAATCATTTGTACCATAGATACCATATGGTAACTATGTTACAGATAGATAGACACAGATGAATTTCCGTTTCTAGACCTTATCTTTTCGGTCTCCGGAAAAATACTTTAAGTTCAGATGATTCTTCTTTTTCTGCAAATGAAGATAAAATATATCAAATTAATGTTTCGTTTGTTCTTCAAATACGTCCTTTCATTCTTTAGCAAAAGTTGTTAATACACAAACACACAAGACTCTCATGATTTCTCTGCAATGAATAAATTGATAGTCTAATTAAATTGAATATATACAAATTGAATCAAACAAACCAATGATTTTGCTGTTGGTTTTTTTTTTCAAAACTATTATATATTCCTATACAGAAAAGAAAAGCATGCTCATGCAAGAGTAAAAAAAAAGATGGAAGAACGTAAAAAGACAAAATCCACACCATAGAATGTGTTAATGATAAAACTCTGATAACTAGCAAAATGTTTTTCAAGAATAAAAATCGACACGAAACAAAACCAAATGTTCACTGTTGATTGAAATAAATAAAGACAATAAATAATTATTGATAAACACGCTAAAAAAAAACAACAATAAACCCAATAAAATATTTATTTATTTTTTTACTTGAAGATTGCTATTCGATGTTCTAATTGGTGAATGGTTTATTGATGAAAAACTCTCATGTAAATCATTTGTAGCTAATAATTTTTCTAGACATTCAAGATAAATTTTAACAATTCGTTTTATTGAATTTAAACGATCAAACATTAATTTTAAATCATTTGTTATACGTAATTGATCACCAGATAAAAGACATATTAAACGATCATTTATATTAATTAAACGTTCATTAACTATTTCAAGATCATCATGAATACGAATAAAACGATGAAGTTTTGTACGATTAATACTTATATTTATTTCTCTTTCATCAACAGGTTCTAAAGAATGACTTAATGATTCAAGATGATCTAATTGTGCACTGATTTCGAACATTGCATGTTTTATATCTTCTGCTTGAATAAGATTTGTCTGTTTAAAAAAAAGAAAATATGTTATTTGAGAAACAAATATATTCAAAATATCTACTTTGATTTCTCGATGTTCACGATTTTTTCTAGCAGATAATAATTCAAAATTTTCTTTAATTGATTGAAGACGATGATCAATCAATAACCATTCACTTGTACCATCACTAAATTGATCAGCTAGATCCATCGTTGATTTTAAAAGTGCTTGCAATTCGTCTAAAATATATTCAAATAATATATAACAAAAAAGAAAAAAAAAGGATTTATTCGTTTTATATGAAACCTAATCGTTGAACTTGATCACGATGTGCATCTGTTTTTGAATAAATAGTTCGAGGTACTAAAATAAAAATTTATTAGTTTAATCCCGGCGGAATTAAAATGTGAAACACAATGTAGTTGTTATTGCTAATCACAGGAAGATTGTTTTATTCTATCTATTTTGGGACACATTTCTTCACTATCCTTTTTTTTAATTCTCTAGAAATCCAACAAGAAATTACGCGAAGAGCAAGGAGGTAGAAATGAGAATAGTCGAGTTTGCGAACCGAACACGATCCTATCATTGATAGAGAGCATGTTGCTAAGATATCTGTCACCGTCTGTGATATTTCTATGGTAATGTCTGTTATGATCTGTAGTGAGAGATACGGTGTGCGTCTACACGAACGTTTTGCTAAAAATGAAAATCGCACTTTTTCAAGATTTAAATATAGAGAAATATACTTCGAAACATAGTCTATCTAATGAAATAAATAACTTTGTTATAATCCTCAAAGAAACTAAAAAATCTGGCATCCAATATTAGCCTGAAAATCATGATATCACCGGGAAAATTGATATATATAACACATTAAACTGTTCGACAGACAAATCCAGTACATTTTCTGAATCTCTAAGTCAAGCTCTATACAACGGTAACAAATATTTTTTTAATTTGCACATTGTGTTTCTAAGTAAAAAAAAAGAATATTTTTTTGCTACCGTGTCGTCCGAACGGCTAGTTCCATAAAATGAGCAATTCAGCTTCCAAAATTTTTCAAATTTTGTCAAAATATTCTTCTATATACTGCCTCTAATTCCTGCTAGCTCAGCATTCTCAAACTGCACAGTAGATTCCCCAACCATCTAGATTTTTTAGTTTTTCTGGCTTTGGAAAAATATTTAATCAACAAAGGGAGTATACTTGAAATCAACACATTAAACTGTGTCGAATGGCATATAACACAAAATTGTTTTGAAGAAAAAATGAGAGCAAGAGTCTCTCTCAGGCAGTTCTCGTCGAAAACCTTTTCTGCATCTCATATCCAATGATTTCTGAGCAAAGAAATTCGTTTCCAAGCAAGAAGGTCATATGACTGCTTGCGATGCGAAAAATGCACATTGTGAGGGAGGAGAGGTGCAAATGTTTACCTTATATATTTCATCACCCTCCTTTTAGATCGTGTTTTACAAAAAAAAGAAAAGAAAAGAAATTATGATAAGAAAAAATGTTGTTCAACTTACATAAGCCATCTAGAGTGGTAAATTGTTCAGCTGTTTGTTCAAGTTCGTCTAATTGTCGTTTAAAATGTTTCCATTGTAGACGATTTTCTTTTAAATGTTCATCTTTATCATGAGCGGAAGTTTGTAAACGATTCCATTTTTCCATAATATCTATTAAAAAAAATTTATTAAATTAACATCAATTGATTTTATATCATTCTTACCAACAACGACTGGATCATTATTAATATCATCGACTAATAAAGGACCTAATTCTTGTTCAATTTGTTGAATTATTTCACGTAATGCTTCAATCTTTCGACGTGTTGTTGTTAATATTCGAGTCTAAAAAGAATTATTAAAAATTTTCATTTTCTCTTTTATTTAAATAAAATGAAAATAAAAAAAAAAGATTCTTTTACATAAGTAAATTCAAAAGGTAAATCTTCAACATGAACACCAATTGGTGTTTCAGAACGAAAAGTTTCTTCTTTGGCAAGAAAATCACCATTAATTTGAACGAGAATATCTTCAAAATCAGATAAAAGTTCTTGAGCACGTTGATATTGATCAC